TTTCTTTCACTCTCTTTGACACTCACTTCTCTCACTCTCTCAGTTCTCCCTCTCTCATGCACATGTCTTTCTTTCAATTCTCTCTGTCTCTCTCTCTCTCTCTCTCTCTCTCTCTCTCTCTCTCTCTGCCTCTCTCTCTCTGATTCTCTCTCTCACTCTCTTTCTGAATTTTATTCTCTCAGTCCTCTCTTTGTCTCTCTCTTTCTGGCACTCTCACTTCTCTCTCAGTTCTCTCTCTCTCTCTCTCTCTTTCTCTCTCTCGCTGGTTGACCTGCAGTATTAAGGACTCTCTTCCTGCGTGCTGGTGTCACGGTGCACTGGCTCGACATGAACTGTGAATTTAATTTCCAGTTTCCTGGCAGGAGGGGCCTTCTCCTTAGGAAGCATTTATTACCCACAATCCTCTTCCTGTCTGCTGAATGAGTCAAAAAAAAAGCAAGACGGAACGTTCCCAGAGCGAGCGAGCTGAAAGAGTGGCTCCGAGCATTCACCAGCATACTAATGGCCAATTAACGAAAGGCCAGATGATGAGCGCAACAGGGCACTATTGATCCGAGCAGGAGAGGTAAAGCTGACACACACTTCAGGCCTGAGTGCCTTTCAGCTTCTCCCCAGGTGGTGGGTACACTCTACATACCCCAGCTTGCGCAAACGTGGGTGGTCCTACATGCGCCCAATCATCTCTCTGGCACTGTCTTGTCAAATATTCAGCTACCATGAAATCCACATCACTTTTCGATGCTTCTCCCTCAGCGGTGACTCTCCTTTCTGTCTCTCTCACTCTGTTGTCTCTCTCTCTGTTAGTCCCCTCATGGTTTTGGATTGATTTCAGCTTCTTGAGTCCAGTAAAGCGGGCTTGAAAAGCTCGCCCCGCTTTCTCTCGCTCCCTCAAAAAGACGTCTGTTTTCAGGAGTCTGGGTTAGATGCCCTGTTTAAACAAACAGGCCGGCCTGTGTCAATGCGCCCCGCTGAAGCGCTAAGGTAATTATATGGATCAGATTGCCTGGGGATGTTTTGAAAACAGGACCTTAAAAAGGGAGGCCTTGTGGAGGACAGGTTGACCTCTGACCTAAGCAGGAGATCTCATTTCAAAGTATGGATGCTTATTTTTAGTTTCCACCAGCGCGAGCTTCAGCGCCGCTGCCCTTCGACTCCCAGCCGAACTTGACAAAACTACTTGTGAGACAGAGTTGTCAGTGGTGATTGTAGGTCCAAGTCTTATACACAGTCGTTTTGTTAGCCTTTTTATGCATCTTTGGGCAGATGTCACAGTACGAAGAATGACCGTGTGCCTGATGGGCCAGAAATTTTGCCATGAATCTGAATATAGCTTGAGAACATTTGGCCTGAGTCTGATCTGACCCACATGCATTAAATCTGAACTACGCTTTTAAAACAAGCCCATATCATTATCCCTCCTCCACCAAACTTTACAGCTGGCACAGTGCAGTCAGGCAGGTAACGTTCTCCTGGCATTCACCAAACCCAGACTCGTCCATCAGACTGACAGATAGAGGTGTGATTCATCACTCCACAGAATTTCCACCGCTCCAGAGTCCAGTGGCAGCGCTTTACTCCACTCCATCCAACGCTTAACGTTGTACTTGGTGATGTAAGGCTTGCATGCAGCTGTTTGGCCATGGAAACCCTGCCATGAAGCTCATGAAGCAGTTTTTGTGCTGATGTTGATGCCAGAGGAGGTTTGAACTCTGCAGTTATTGATCAGCAGAGCGTTGGAGACTTTTATGCTCTATGCTCCTCAGCACTCGGCGACCCGCTCTGTAACTTTACAGGGTCTGACACTTCGTGGCTGAGTTGCTGTGGCTGCTAAACATTTCCACTTTTCAAAAATATGAGGGGTAGGAGGGAAGAAATTTTGCAATGAATTAAAGAATTCTGGAAAAAACCTGTTTTCTAAATGCATTATCTGTGGTTCAGTTTAAACAGTGTGTGGTTGTGCAAACTGTGTGAATAGTTTTTAAAAAGAGAACTTCAGTACAGAAATACTTGTTAGCAACTGTAAAAAATTGTAACGATGACTTAGATGCAATTTGAAGAAATGTTTTGGGAGTGTATTTACAGAAAAGATTTGGGTGACTATTGACTTCTAGTGTTTGTTAGCAGTGTTGGCCTTATAGCTCCAACACTAAACGAGCAAAGCTGAAGTTGGACACCAAACATGTTCTTGGCTGATCAGCTACATCTGGGGTGGAAAATTGTATACATTCCTTTAAAGTTTAAAGACAAGCTGAGACACCACAACATGATCTTGGCCCATGGCCAAATTGAATAGACATAAAAAGTTGGGTCTCTTCAAATTTAGACTAATGGTTCAAGCTCGTATGCCTACATACTCTGGTATGCTTTCAGAGAATAACCGGTATAAACAGAGACATAGATGTAGACACCTAAGATGTCCTCTCAAAATGCTTTATTAGTTATTATTTGAGTAATTGACGCAAAAAAAAAGCATCGTGAGCTGACGTCTTTGTTGGTCTCGGCCAAAAGTGAGAAGTCAAAACACTAACAGGATTTCAGTGTTGCTTTACTGCAGGCCTCAGACGACCTCCAATAGGAGCTGACAGACAGCCTTGTTCCAGGCCACTCATATCAGGCTGGCATTCTGCCCGGTCCTGAGCCGGGAAGTGCGCGGAAATGTACTTCCTGTCAGGATATTGCGCGTGAGAGCACAACACAGAGGACAATCACCCCCAGTGTTCTCACCCGCACTCCAGCACCTGTGCTTCCTCTGCTTCAGGCTCAAACCAGCCGGCTCCCACTCAGAGCCCTGTGAAGAAGTGCTGCTCACAGGCAAACCTCTCTGGGACCTGTTACCACTTTTACATATAGTGCTGACCAATAGTGCCCTGCCTATACTTTTACATATAGGGCTGACCAATGGTGCCCTGCCTATACTTTTACATATAAGGCTGACCAATGGTGCCCTGCCTGTATTTTTACATATAGGGCTGACCAGTGGTGCCCTTCCTATACTTTTGTATGCACTGTTGACCAGTAATGCCCTGCCTATAATTTTACATATACTGCTGACCAGTCATGCCCTTCCTATACTTTTACACATACTGCTGACCAGTGGTGCCCTTTCTATACTTTTACATATGCTGCTGACCAATGGTGCCCTGCCTGTACTTTTACATATAGGGCTGACCAATGAGGCCCTGCCTATACTTTTGTATGCACTGCTGACCAGTGGTGCCCTTCCTATAATGTACATATACTGCTGACCAGTGGTGCCCTTCCTATACTTTTACATATACTGTTGACCAGTGGTGCCCTTTCTATACTTTTACATATACTGCTGACCAGTGGTGCCCTACCCCTACTTTTACATGCACTCCTGACCAGTGGTGTCCTTACTATACTTTTACATATACTGCTGACCAGTGGTGTCCTTCCTATACTTCTACATATACTGCTGACCAGCAGTGCTCTAGCCATACTTTTACATGCACTGCTGACCAGTGGTGCCCTTCCTATGGTTTTACATATAATGCTGACCACTGTAGCCCTACCTATACTTTCACATATACTGCTGACCAGTGGTGCCCTTCCTATACTTTTACATATACTGCTGACCAGCAGTGCTCTACCCGTATTTTTACATGCACTGCTGACCAGTGATGCTCTGCTTATAGTTTTACATACAATGCTGACCACTGTAGCCCTACCCATACTTTTACATGTATTGTTGACCAGTGATGCCCTAACTATACTATTACATATACTGCTGACCAGCGGTGCCCTACCTGTTCTTTTACATATAGTGCTGACTAGTGGTGCTCTACCCATACTTTTACATGCACTGTTGACCAGCAGTGCCCTGCCTATAAGTTTGCGTATAGTGCTAAGCTATGTGTGCATGTCTCTGTTGCGCTATACTGTGCCATTCTGTGTTGTGATATGCTGTGTTGAATAACACTGTTTTGTTTTGTCTTCTCTTCTTCTGCCTTGTGCTCTCTTGTCTTGTTTTGTCTTGTTCTGCATTGTCTTGCATTTGAGCTTTATTATATTATATTGTGATATCTTGTATTTACACTCATGGCATTTAGCAGACGCTCTTATCCAAAGCAACATGCAAAAGTGCTTTGTTGTTCACCCGGAGAATGTATTTTGTAGCTAGTTCAAATGGGTTAGAGCCCAAACTGACTTTGACAGCTGACTTTGACAGACACTCAAGACATTTGAACGTTTTTACTTCTTACTTTGCCACAAACAGAAAATGGACACTTTTAACCAACAGCCGATTTGGTCAGACTCTGAAGATGAGACTACACTAAATTCCCAAACTGTCATCACCACTGAGCAGCTTTTCAGTCGGCAGCTGTGACAGAAGAACGGCTAAACAACCTGGAATCAGCCAGAAATAAACCCAACACCATTCGCCAAACTAAATGGGCTGTAAGATGCTTTACAGACTGGCTGGAACAAAACAACATTAATATTGATCTGGCAAAAACTGACAAAACTGAGCTGAACTTGATATTGTGGCAGTTTTATGGCTCAGTCTGTACTTCAAAAGGCAATACTTACATCAGACTGTGCAGCGAGTGGGCGGAGTTTGTTACTCTGATGTAGCAACAAGCTGCTCGTTAAGGAACTATAATTTGGTGAAGGAACTGCGAACATTAAAACATATTAAACGCCGCGTTCACGGCCCAGTTTATTAATTTATTACTGTATTTATTTAACTGTTGTATAAAAGCAATAGAACACTCGAGGAGTGTGTTATCGCCAATAACATCACAGCTGTGATGATCTACGGTGACCAAATCACAGCCATGATGTTATTTCGCAATAACACACTCCCTCTCGTGTTCTATTGCTTAAATGATGCCTTGTCTTGTGTTGTCTTGTCTTGCATTCTGTTGCGGTGCTTTGTGTTCTGTTGTGTTCTGTTGTGTTGCCGAGCATTGATGCATTATCGCCTTTCCGTTTCTTGTGCTAAGTGGTGTTTTGTGTGTTGTTTGGATGTGTTGCAGAGGTCTGGCAGGCTCGAGATGAAGGCCAGAACTTCATTCAGCGTTTCGACCCTCAGCTTGTGCGAGAGGAGAAAAGGACGGAGGTGGAAGAGGAGGTCAGAGTGCAGGTGAGAGTTGGGGAGGGCTTCTAATGAATCACCATACACTGTTCTCTAGAGTCCTACTTTCTACAGTGATACATTTGCAAAATTCCTGGCGACTCAAATAAAGATAAGCACCTACACAGATTATAGGCTCTGCGTTCTATAACATAACTCACAATCACCCGTCCACTGGCTTCAGTGTTTCAAGTCATTGTCTTTTTTGAGTTCTTTTACTATGTACAGGGAAACCTGTCAGAATTAGTCAGTAGATAGATAGACAAAAAATGCCAGAGTGGTCCTTTAAAACACTCCCTCTCTCTTTAGGTGGATGAGCTGATGAGGCAGGAGCTGAAGAACCTCAAACTGACAGTGGACCGGGATAAAGGCAAGAAGAAGAAGAGGGCGAAGAAGGCCAGTAAAAAGGTGAAAGACCCTAGTGCACGTCCTCCCTCGGGTCAGCGTGAGATAAGGGCTTCACTGAAAAACGTCCTGCAGCATGTGCAGTGCCACACTGACAGTGTGCAGACATCAGAGCCTTGATAGTAACTAGTGTTTCATGAAATTTGCTTGGTTTCATCTTCAGCTGTTCTCTATACACTCTGAATGCAGGTTGACTATAAAGGGCTCGTCCTGCACTGTTGCAGTGATGAGAGTCCGCTGGGTCAGCTGGGTCACACTGTGATTCACCCGCACTGTCAGGAATGTGAGATGCGCATTGAAGCAGAGATGTAATCTCGCCCCTGTCAGCTCTTGTTTTGATAGGGCTGCTTTCCCACCACCTTTGCCACACACATATTACAGCCTGGGCCAGATGTGAGTTGTGTTGGTGGATAAAGAGCAGGATGTTGGGGAGCTTGTCTATTGTACACACTGGTAAACATCCAAGGAGTGTTGATATTTGACAATGCTCAAATGCATTTGGATTGTGTGTGTGTGTGTGTGTGTGTGTGTGTGTGTGTGTGTGTGTGTGTGTGTGTGTTCTTGTGTGGTATGTGTAGTTTGTGTGCATATATCTTTGTGTGTATGTGCACATTGTTGACCATGAATTTTTATGACCAGTTCAAATTTCTTTACAGCCAATTGGGCCAATGGCTGATTTTTTATGATGTATTTATTCATTTATTTATCTATTTATTTATTTATTTGTTTATTTATTTATTTATTTTAGCTTACACTGTGTGGATTAGCCCAGCCCAGTACATTTCCAGTGCTTTCTATAAGCCAAAGTTGCAGCATAAATGACATTGCTCTTTAACCCTATAAGGCCATCTCAAAAACATGGCTATTTCTGCTTCTTTAGTCTGCTCTACCCCACTGATCGTTTGATTTCTTAATACTGTCATTGCATTTATGTGATATGTAAAGACCATCAGTTAACAAAGCTGAAAATAAGTAGATTTTTGTTTCATTTGTTCTCACAAACTACCTGTTTGAACAAGAAAATACCATGAACGGAATATGAGTCACACATCAGTAGAGTTTTATCACTGCTTTGATTAAATATAACAGTAATAAGCTCTCACTGATCTGAATGGCACCCTGAACAAGCTAAAAAGGAAGCTTTGTGCAAGTGATGGTAACGTAGTAGCACACAGAAAACTCCAGTTCTACTCGTTGATGTTTCATTGTTGCCAACAAGGACATGCACACGCTGAAACTCCTCTGCTTTAAACGAGTTTAAGGGGCCATCGACTTATGGACTCAGTGGTGGTAATAGGGGCCAAGGGTCACAATGCAAATGTAGACATTTAATTTGGCATCTTAAATGACCAGTGAACCTACAGGTGTCTTTATATGTAATGTTGAAATGGTAATTTAAGCTACGTTCATATTACAAGCCTCGTTGCTCAAAACAGATCTCTCTTAAACGATGGTTCACACTCGTTTGATTCAAATCTGTCATTAATCTGAACAAACCGGCGTCCTGAAATGACCTGCATGCGCACATCCTACTCAGTAACGTCACGTGAATGAATCACGTTCATCATCAGCACAAACTAACGAGCAGAACGAGCTTCGCTGAGAAGATAATTAACTCTGATCAGCTCTCAGCTTCATTATTAGAGCGAGACGAAGGAGAAAAAGGTGAGATGAGCTGCTTTTCCACCATTTACAGGCTTTAACTTCTGTTCGGCGCTGCTGCCATGGTAACGCTGAATGATGGCGCAGCACAGTGGGAAAAAAGCACATGAATTCTGATCTGAGCGTCACATTAAGGTCACATGGCCACGAATCAGATACGTGTCCAATCTAGGACCACATATGAAAGGGACTCAGGTCGGATTTGAAAAGATCAGATTTGCATGTCCGCACAGCTCTGAAAACATCAGATCTGAGTCACATTAGGGCAAAAAATTGGATTTGTGCCACTTCAACCTGGTAATGTGAACGTAGCCATAGTGGTAAATCTAAAATTTCTTTGGATTAATATTTTGCTTTACATGTTCCTCCCACCATGAACACATTTAAGATAAAACACTTAAAATGCCAAATGTTTTTGTAAAAATAGCGTAAAACAATGTCTTGGTCATCAGGCAACAAATCTATAATCATTTCATGTAATGACTTTCTGTAAGGTAGTTTAACCAGGGCTGTTTGAGGTGTGGCCTGTGAGGATATTTGATTTGGCCTATCAGAAAGTTACCCTAACCCCACCCCTTCACCCAATGAGAGCACAAACATATTTTCATAAACATGAACATTTTCATTTTCCAAGCATGCAGTGAAACTTATATGTTGTATATTGTACTTTTAGGTCAATATTTAGTAGTCTGACCAGCTACTCAGGCAAGCAAGCTCAGCCCAGTCAGCCAGATAGTGGTGCTACAGCAAAGTGTTACATGTTTTGGTCCATATCTCCTGGACCGTATGCCATTGAGACAAAATTATTTTTACCTACTGACTACATGCTGTACAAGAAAGAAATCTATATGCTCACCTTCTTGATTTTTACATAATTAGCACTTTATGCAAATTGCATTGTTTTGAGTGCAAACTAGTCCCTGGGTTTTGCACAATCTGCACAAGTCTGGTTTAAAAGAATCCTAAAAAACTGAACTTCAAAATATGTTGCATAGGTCATGCATATATAACTTAATAATTTGTCTGGTTGTTATGAAACTTCACAGGTATTTACCGTAGTAGAGTCGTGCAATCTTCAAACTTTGGTGTAACTGCATTACTGGAACTTGGTATACCTGCTCAGTACCTAATGTTGAAATAGTGTGCAAAGATTAATGGACATACATTAATAGTTTGCACTAACAATGATTCCACATGTTTAACCCTTTTACAAATTCATTTCCAGTACTTAGTCCAAAAGACAGAAACCAATTCAAAATCTGTCATACTATACACCTACCAAAGATGAAGTCATTTTTGTGGTGCTTTAAATTAATTGGTACCAAAATAATTACACTACTGTACGCCAATCTTATTTTGAGTATGCTTGTGAATTTGTGCTTGGACCCCTGAATTACCGCTTGCGGCTATGTTTTTTATTCAAAATCACAAAAAGATTTGCTGGATCTGGACCCTGTAAGGTTGGATTCAGAATGTCCCACTTTTCACTACTTATGAGTTTGCATGTCTATCTGGTAGTTGTAAAATTATTAGTTATATGATTTAAAATTTTATTGTATTTAGAGATTTGAGGTAATTATGGAGGTCTTTAATTTCATTTAAAGGTATTAATTTGGCCTGTGAACAGTAACTGTGGCCCTATTATGGCCCCACCACTGTCTGCCTCACAATATGTACCATATGATGAAATTGCAACACAGATCAGCCAAATAATAAATTGGATAATTGGTGAATTGCATGTTTGAAGAAAAAAGTCTTCCAATTCCAATTGTGCATCCTTAGTGCATGTGGTTTGCGTGTGTGTGTGAGCATAAATGTGTGTATATTCTTGTGTAGAATGTGTGGTTTGTGTGTGTGGGTGTGTGTGTGTGTGGGGGGGGGGGGTGTTGAGACTGCGTGTTTGTGGCAGACCCATCTGTGCATTTCCTGCGAACTGAACTTGTTTCCAAACATGTGAGTCTGTAACAGCATCGCTGCATGTCTGCACAAGTGGAGACTTCAACAACATATTTGGCACCGCACGCAAGAGCTTTTAACACCCAGCACATTTCAAAGCCAAACCAGGCCTTCAGTCTCTGCCCTGTTTGTGGAATGTATGCTCGGTGATCGACATTAATCACTCTCTACATACAGGATTCTGCAAATCTCATACTGCTAAACATATATATGCACATAAATCTACTCATAGCACTGCTTATTTAAGCTTGCATTTGCTGATGACATTCACATAGATGCATTTAGTGTGAGTACAGTACTGCGCAGAAGTCAGAAACCACCCTTCATTTATTTAGTTGTTCATTAAATTAAAAAGTTGTTTGTTTTTTTACAGGATTTTTTTTTCTGGAGAGATTAGATATAAGATAAGGAAGGAATTGAGAAGTCAACGTAAAATAAGGGTAAAGGCAGGAGTTTCCAAAACTAGAGATACAGAGAAAAGAGAATCTTAATGACCATGCCAGAGCTGGTAGACCTCCACAACTGTCCTTACGTTTTTGAGAGATGGGAGAAAATCAAGCTCCACTCTGTAGAAGAAGCTGTTCAGAGCAATGGACAGGCCACCCCTGAGCCCAGACCCAGTAATGAATTATTGAGCGAGTGTGTGGGGCCAGTGCCCAGGAGCTTCTGACTGCTGGGGCTTTGCAGGGGCTTGAGGCCCGAGGTGTGTGGGTATAGTCCACTGCAGATACAAATATCAGATGAACTAATAGTGAACAGTGAATATGTAATGATTAAGTAAATCAAATAAAGCCCCCTCAGTCCATGCTCTGCCACTACATTCAAATTAAATAAAAGCCCCCTAACACCAAACATGTTTGGAAATATAACTGTGCAGGAAATAATAAGTCTATTCCACATTCATTGAGAATGAATTATTTTGTTTACCTTACATTTTGTGCATTATTGTCAAAGATTGTTTACTGCTTTGTTCCCTGACATCAAAAAAATTAATAACTTGTATGTAATGGTCATTTTTACTGGGAATAAAAAAAAGCGACTTGACCACATGAATGTAGCATTATGCAACTCAGAGCATAAACCAGTAACACACCCTGGCTGGATGAAAGCCAAATACAGTTATTGTTTATTGTTTATGTAATTATACATATCTAGATAGATATATAATGTAAGGCTTCCAAATGATTAAAATAATTAATCGCAATTAATGACATTTTCTAATTCAAATAATAATAAAATATTTCCCAACACAAAACACAAACAGGGATTTGATTGAAGTGTAGAAACCGCACTTTGAACAGAAGTCCTCCTCTGATTTCAGCGAGTATTAATACAAATTTCTTATCACCAGCAATAACTAAGTGTTGAGAGAGAGAGAGAGAGAGAGATTACGTGTTCCCACGTGTTCAGGCTCAGGGTGTAGGCCTGTTCTCTCACTGACAGACTCATTCTTTAATGTTGAATCCTCAGGAAACAGCCAAAGAATGACACCACAGAGATACCTTTAAGGTTGATTTTTCGGAAAACATTGTGTTCTTTGGTTCAGATTCAGGGCCGCCCCTTCTCTGACCCTGAACAACTAATAAACCAAATCTCTAACATTCTTGGCTAACATTGCCAAGATGTATTTTTGTTCCATTTTGGAACTGGACAAATATTCAGAGGGAGCATAGCAGTAATTCCAGAAGGCTTGACTGGAAAAGCTCTCAGGCCCACTTAAGTATTAAAGGCCAAAACATGAAATTTACACATTTTTCACAGTTTTCCCATTACCCCAAGTGTCAGTCAGCCTGAGGACATGTTGGTGCCTGAAGTTTGCCTCTTCAGTTTTGGAGCTATGTAGCTAATGTAGCTAACAAGTAATGGAAGCTTATACTGCATCAGGATGGTTGAAACTTCAGAAAAGCAAAATGTGATTTCCACCACAGTCTGACTACTGAATACACATTGCTTGTGGTTACATTACTGACTCGCCCGAAGTACAGCTGCCCCCAAATTTGAAGATTGTTAGTTAAGCTAAGTGACCCTTATTAGTCCCACAACGGAGGAAATTTCACCTCCAAATTTTGACCCATCCGGTGTAGTGAAACACCACATACACACTAGTGAATGCACACACACTAGGTGGCAGTGAGCACACTTGCCCAGAGCGGTGGGCAGTGCCCAGGGAGCAGCTGGGGGTTAGGTGCCTTGCTCAAGGGCACTTCAGTCACATACTGTCGGCTCAGGGTATCGAACCAGTGACCTTCCGGTCACAAGGCTAACTCAGTCTGTTAATTTATGAAACTGATTATGTACAAATAGTATTACGTAGCCAAACTATATCTTTTGAGACAAGTGCAATGATTTAGGCATGCAGTTTGCACAATGCCAGAGGTGGAGACTCGAGTCAGCAACTCAAACTTGACTTGGATTCACTCTTAACTGACTTGTAACTTGAACTGGACTTGAGACTACAGACTTGTGAGATTTCAGCCTGAGAAAAAACATAAACAGAGGACCACCAACCATAATGTGGTCAATGAAGAAAACCTTTAGTTTCCAACTCTACGTGTTAGCGTAGCATGTCAGTTTTTCTACATCCATGCACAGTCAGTACTGCAATGCTGTTCTCCAGCAGCTCACAGCAGTGTAGTATAAAAATAAGTCTGTCAGTAATTCTTCTAATAGAGAGAATGAAGCCCTTCATGCAGTAAATGTGGTGTTTAATAGAAAAATAGGCAAAACAACAGTTGGGGAGCAAGAAATTTGGATAGGAACTATGCTAGCTAGCATAATAGCTAATTTAACTGAAGTTAGTCAGGAGGTCAGTAGCCTAACCTCCAGCTAAGCATGTAATTGTGTGTGTTAAGAACTTATTATATGTGTTAAAAATAAATATTACTTCTTTCAAGGGAAAAACAGTTCCATTAAACCAGATTATACTTTAGTTTTAGAAAATATTTGGGCTAGTGATAACAGTCACCAGAACTGTTTTAGCTCACACTCAGACAAAACTGATTCAAGCAGTTTTCCTGAGACATTCCTTTTAAGTAATGAATGTTAGCTAATAAAAGCATTTCACTAGCTAGCTTGTTTTGCTTGTGTTTATGATTACTCGTTAAAAGAGCACAGGTTTTGAAGGGAGCATTTCACTGCTGTCGGAAGAAAAAAACATGTATCTCCATTTTTGTCGTTTTTCAGTTTTTGACATAGTTTGAAAATGCCTGTTGCCTTTTAAACTGTGTATAAATTTCATGATGAATGGACCAAAAGAAATGGCCCAAAATGACTTGAACAAAAAGTCTGGTTCCATTGACTTACATTAAAAGTAAAGTAGGTTTTTTCCTTCTCCTGTAAAGTTACCATTTCAGAGATACGAGGTTTTGTTCCGACAGCATCAATTTGTTTTTACCGCAATCCATCACCAAATGTTTAACAAGATGTCACCTAGACATGTGTTCACATTATGAAATGCACCCACAAGACTAATGTAGCTTATATTTTAGTTTCAGATCACATTCCTTCAACATGTACTACAAACTCAGCTGGATTAGCTGTTATGCTAGCTAGCTGGCGTAGTGTTTTGACTTTTTCCTTTACACACAGCTTTTACTGTGTGTGGCATTTGAGCTACTTTAAGCTGAATGTTATTCTTTAATGAAAGTATCTTTATTTGAAGCCACGTTGAACCTGACAGGTTTGTAGTTGGAGTTTACTTTTGTACAGTGCAACTCCTGCAGCTAATATTAAGACTAAACTAAAATTCTCTACTAAAGACTCAAGACTTAACTCACACTTGCTTCCCAGAGACTTGAGACTCGATCTGGACTTGCATAAAGTGACTAGTACACTTAGGCTGTGTTCAGACTGCAGGCAATTGGACTGTCCACGTTGTTATTTGCAAGTGATCAGATCGGATTTGTGTGTCCAAACATAAACTTTCTGTATAGGTTGCTAACAATGTAGACATCAGTAACTATGCAGTTATGCTGTTGACTCTGAGTTCAAATGCAGATGCAGGAGAAAAGGAGGTGCATCATTTTGTCCTCCAAACTTGCAGAAGCTTGAATCTTTGGCACTCTTCTTGAATCCCAGCTCTGCAGTCACTCTGGATTTCACATCATCATTGTTTGTTGCGTTGTGAGTGATGCAGAAGAAAACCGGTGAAGTCCGGTTTGAGTGGCCAGAGCATCCAGACTGACCAATTGAATCTGAATGGAATCGCATTTCAAACCACATCCAAATGTGGTTTGGATCCAATTTGCAAAAATTCATCTATGTGTTTTTTGCTGTCCAGACTATCAAAGATCAAGCTGGATACAATCTGGAAAAGCCAAAAATCAGATTTGGGCTGGCAGTCTGAGCATAGCCATACATTACCTGTTAGCTCAAAGCTCCTGCACGCCACTATAGAAGAACTTCAGTCACCAAACATGCCTTGGCTGATTGACTACATTTCTAAAATGGGCCCAACCTTAGGAAGCATTTAGATTTCCCAGGAACACAGAGTAGCAGTTGAACACCCTTTACATCAATTCTTTTTGTCAATTTTTGGTCACGCCTTGAATTAAAACCCCTCTCAGCCCCTACCCGGAGCGTCGGCTTGAAGGCATTATGGTGTAGTGAACCATAGCAACACATTTGCTAATCACAGAGCTTAAGTTCTGGTGAGCTGATCATTCAGGGAGAACTTCAGGGAAATTCCTTTTACACACCACTAGTTCTTGTGGTTTAAAAACAGCCTTCTACTATAAACAAGTTCCAGGGTGTCTCTGCATGGACCGGTGCCAGTGGGTGTGTTCAGACCCGAGGCCAGCACATCTCTAATCAGAGCGATCAACAAACAGAGCCGTGCTGTGGGTAACTCGCAGGCTTTTATCAGGGAAACTATGAAGCCGTGTTTATAGCATTTGCCCGAGTCATTTGCTCACCAAGGGCCAGATGTTTTTCGAATGTCATTTCACCAAACATTTCGGTTAGCAACAGTGCATTAATTTCCATGTTGTGGTGCAACCATGTTTATAGTTGAGAGCATAGACAGATCCACGCTGAGCCTGTGGGTTCAGCAGCCGTATCACTGCATGTTTGAGTGGCCTTATAACGAATCAGTATGTGATTGACGACCTTTGGCCTGTTCAGAAAGCAATCCAGAGTTGAACGTGTTCCTTTTCTCCATGCAGAAGAAGAAGAAAGGGAAAAAGGGTGGAAAGAAGAAGAAGAAAAAAGAGAAGGATCTGACAGCAGACAGGTCAGTAATGGAGCAAAACAATAAAAGTGAACAAAAAAATGTTATTTACAGGGGTTTGCAAACACATTTTTATTTGCCTCTAAAAAAGCCAAGGCCTGCCACAGTCATTGTCTGGGGAACTGAGGGTTATGACATGGTGTTTTCAGACTTGAGAGGAGTTTATTGCTCTCTGTGGTCAGGACTTGTTGCGCTGGTTGAAAGCCTCTTAAACAAAGTTGTACTGAATTTCTTAAATGCTATGTTCTCATATCTTTGACATTCCATTTACATCCAACAAAGTCACCATGAAGCTAACAGACCTTTAACACTGCTCGCTGGCTAACCTCATGGCTCTGTATGATATGAAGGCTTCTGTTTTAACCCGTCTCATCTATGGCTGCAGCTCAAGATAGTGGCTTCCGCTTGTTTAGTCTTGGCTCTAGTCTCAAGTTTTTCTATATCACTCTTGTCTTTATCTCACTTGGTTAGGAGTCTGGACCTGTATTTCTGTAATATTGCCAGTTGTTAGAAGCTCTGCAGGACAGGGAATTGAGTTCAGGTGATTGTGCTGCAAATATTAAGGTGCTCCTAAAGACCTTGATTGCCCGGAATCAATGGGTTGGGGTTAGGATTGGAACTTTACTGACTGGCCACTTTATTAAAAAAACACATACAGTTCTGTGCAAAATTAAAGACCACCTTTCATTTCCAGTCCAAATGGCCGTTGAGTACAAGATCTTTCTCAGGATGCTAATAAGATAAGCATAGAATAAGGAAGTAAAATACAAAATAATAATCGGAAAATACACAGCTCTCTTATCCAGAGTGACTTACACAGGTAGGGGAAGGTAGTGTTAGGAGTCTTGCCCAAGGACTCTTATTGGTATAGTGGAGTGTGCTTACCCAGGCAGGGAATTGAACCCCAGTCTACAGCCTAGAAGGCAGTGGTGTTACCCACTACACTATACCAACCACTATACAAAATATGGGAAAAAATAAGAATTCCTAAAACTGGAGTTCAAAAAATTATTAACAGACATAAACAAAATGGACTCCTAATAATTGTGCAAGACCTGGTAGACCACCAAAACCATCTTTCATCTTCGGTCAAGCTCCACTCTTGCTTCAAATCTGAAAAAATCCTCAGGTATTTCTGTCCGTCCTTCCACTGTGAGAAGACAGCTCAACACCATGGGTCTAAAAGGATGTGTAGGCGTCAAGAAGTTGTTACCAAATTAAAGAAGTATAAAAAGAAGAAGAAGGCAAAAGAAGAAGCTGCTAGTGTTTTTAGAGCAATGGACTGTCAACCGCAGAGCTCAGACCTCAACATCACTGAATGTGTTTGGGATTATTTGGATCGTGAAAAGCAGAAAATGCAACCAACTTCTAAGTTCCTCCATGCTGGTGCACAGTGAGAGGCCTCCTGCTGCCACTACCGTGTCAGTGTCACTGCTGTGTTAAGTTTGGTCCAAAATGTCCAGATATTTCTTCTAATTAGTGAATTCGGCTACACAGCAAGTATGATGTCCACAGAAAAGGATTGAGACACACTGGAGCAGCTGCACATGAGCCAGAGGTCACCATGCTCAATGCTAAGCATCAGTGGAGCAGTGGAGCAGATGAACTGCATTCTCCAGAATGATAAAGATCCATTCCATACATTTATGATCAGTTTGAGTGGCGTTTGTGATCCAGAACTAGTCATCCAACATCAGTACCTGACCTCGATAATGCTCCTGTTGCTGAATGCAGTCAAATCCTCACAGCAATATTCCAACATCATGTGTAAAACCCTTCTTTCCAGAAGAACAGATGCTGTTAATGCAACAAGCTTCCTATTAATGCCCTTGATTTCATACGAAAAGTTGGATGAGCAGGTGTCTATAAACTTTTGGACATTAAGGGGGTGACTATCAGATTCTCCCTAGTAGAATTCTAAGGTAGGTGGATCATATAATGTGGCCAGATTCTCCAGCACAGGGTTGGACAGCTGAATTTTGGCATGGTACTGGGACTGTGTCCAAGACCATGACTGGTTCTTGTGCTCCTGGATGGGTGGGACGGTCATAATGCAAGGGATGATATTTCAGCTGCTATGTGAGTAGTTCATGTGCTTCTTACCTAATATTTCTTTTGCTTTCTCTCCTCCACCCTGTCTCCATAGGACCATTGAATCCCTGTACGAGGAGCTAGTTCTGGAAGGCATCCTGATTCGGCCAGCGAACATCAAACTGTCTGAGTATCTCGGTAATAAACAGTCACACCCATACTCCTCTCCCTTTCAAATTACATTGATATGTAATATGTGTGTGTGTGTGTTTTGTGACATGTCTGCACACCGGAAGAGGGGATACTGGCACTTTCACTTGCTTTTTAGAATGTTTTTAATAAAGGATCATATTTCCTTTGTTATGTTTAGCATTAGTAGGGATGTATCAATACCATTTTCTCAGACTGAGCATGAATTCGAGTACATGTTTTTTAGTGCTCACCCATACTGATTCCGATAGAACACTGAGCAACCTTCTAAGACTCAAGTAGTTGTTAGTGTAAATGAGTGCGATGGACCATAACAGTTAAACTGTTAAAATCTAGCTCATTTAAATGAAGTGCATTAGCTAGCTGTGCTACAATTGTTACCCTGGATTGAGTAGTGCTGTAGTGGAGAATAGCAAGTTTTGCTCCATGTCAGAAATGCACTTTGGTACAGCTGTAAGTAAAGTACATTTCATAGTTTTGATCCCCAATCTGTCTCTTTCAACAACAGTCTCTGTCACAGTGACAGCAGGAATCACATCTGAGGCTAATACATCAGAGTAGCTCACGTTTCATGTCGTTGGAGTCTTTTCGGCTAGTTGGCTGGTAGAGCTGTGCCTTACAGGCATGCACTGTAAGTTTGAATAGACCATTGTGTAGAGACAAAGCCCATGATTTATATGCTCACACTGTACGAAATTGCTCAGTCCAATTGACGTGCTATGTGAAACATAGCTGATACAGACAAGTCTAAGAGTGATTTCCAATAAAGCTGATTCATTCAAAACAACACCTGCACACACGAGTACTGAGCAGAAATGCTGAACAACTGGGCAGCTTTGCTTGCTTGTGCCACACTGTACACTGACAAAATCAGACGGTTATGTACATTGATTGGACCATGCCGTCTCTCCATTGCCTATTTTATGAAGAAAAATTAACATGTATACCTTGCAATTCTCTTCAGTCAAACAAGCATAGTGTATGTACACAACAACAAGGATATCGCTGTTGTCAGAAAAAAAACTTGTGTCTCCAAAATGGTAACTTTACAGGAGAAGGAAAAAGCATACTTCAGTTTTAATGTAAGTCAATGGAACCAGACTTTTTTCCAAGTCATTTTGGGCCATTTCTTTTGGTCAGTTCTTCATGAAATTACACACAATGTAAAGGTTAACAGGCATTTTCAAATTATGTCAAAAATTGAAAAACAAAAAAAAGGAGATATGCAGTTGTCTTCACTCATATTGGGGAAGTGGTTGTGATTGTTTTTATATGTGCATAAAAACCGGCCAAAATCGCACAGCTTATGTCTGGTGGGAATATGCCAAGGCAGAATGTTTAAAGTGACCAACAGCCACAACATCAGAAACACTTCAGTGTGAGGAGACCCTGATTCACTGCCAGCTTGAGTTATTTGTTCATTAGTGTGGCAGTCTACACTAGGCTTACACTTTACGTGGTATTGGATGTTGATTCCAGCGCCTTTTTTAGGTTCAGTACAAGTAAATGAGCACAATATTAGGCCAACACCAGATACCAGTATCACTAGCAATGCATTGGTAATTATGAGGACGCAATATTGCATATAAAGCATGAGACAAGTAAGCTATGCTCCATATTGAGCAAGAGCTCCCAAGTGGAACAACCATCTGTCATTCAACAGTGAGTTTGATCCTCGGAGATGCCTCAGCCATCCATGGTCAGGAGTCCAAGACAGCATAATTAGCCTCGCTCTGGGTGGGTAAGGTGGCCCTCTCTTCCCTCATCATTCAGCAGGATGTTAGCTAACATGGGCGTCTGTTAGCTGATGTAAGAGAACTGGCAGTTAGTGATCTCCTCCAAGTGTCTTGAGCTGTCCAATAACATTGCATTATCAGCAGTTTGAAAAGAACTTGGCTGTTTATGTAAAGGAAGCACATATTAGCTTTTCAGTTTGGTAGCACTGTGTTATGGGGGAGGCCAAGCTAGCTGGGGGAAATGGACAAGACCAAATTGGGAAGAAAAATGGGTAAAAAATACATATATACTTTTATCAAAAACATACATTTTGCACCTCTGACTGTATATGTGTTGCCATAACCGTTATGTTGGCTCTCAAACCATTCAGTGCTGCGTTCACCTTTATTATGTTTTCAAATGTATGCTTTCTACCTTATTACGTTTATTATGTATGGCAACATTGAAGCTTGCTTTCCATTTCAAGTGTGTATTGACTGGCTAAGTGTCTGTTGGCTAGATCCCCAGAGCTTGGCCAGAGTGCAGTTTTCTCTAAGTGCTAAACTTTAGCCCAGTCTCATAAGACCAATGTAAGCTATCAAATTCAACAGTCAAGCCCCATGGAGCTCTTAGTAATGTTGTAATGCAGGCCCATGGCTCCAGGCTTCACAGTAAACTGTAATGCTGAAATGTCATGACCACAGACGCGTGCGCAGGATTGAATCACAGTCTTTGAGCGCGTGTGTGGACGTGTGTGTGTGTGTTAGCATCATGGGGGATCTTCTCTTCCTCAACACCACGGTGACTCAATAATTCCCTTACTGCGCTGCACTGATAGGCCGCACAGGATAAGTGAAACCAGGACGAAGCATGAAAGCTATTCTAGCACTGTTGATGACTCATTTACACACAGAGACACACACACACACATGTGTGCGTAGCCTCTTTTAGGTCTCTTTCTTAACTGAATGCAGTTTAGAGCCTAAATTTAACATATTTTTCCAGACATGTCCAGAACATTACAATTACTTGTTTTTAGCACTGCCGATATTTCCAGATGTTTTGGTTTCAGCTAAATTAACCAGGAGCTTTGCCTGGAACAACACGAGGCAGTGTAATCTGGTTTATTTTGACATGGAAGTTATTGAAGTTTCTGTTTCTCTTTAAGCTGTTTCCACAAAAATAGGGTGCGGTGCTTAAATAGGAGCCACATTAGGTCTGATCTGTGGAAACAGCTTGGCCATGTTGTCTCTGTTTACCGGAGTTGCCGCAGTGATGTGATGTAATGCTGGCACAAAGCCAAAGATGCACCTACAGCACCCGTGAAAAGTTGATTGCAGCTGACTGAATGTTTTTGTTTTTCATAACTTTGAAGGATTGATTCTACAAAATTTACACAGTTTTCCACTTACCTCAGATGTAGATCAGCCATGTTTGGTGCTTCATTGGTTTAGAAGTGGAGCTACGAGGCTAATGTTTCTAACACTAGGAGTCAATAGTCACCCAAATCTTAGATTTAGATTAGAGCTTTATTTGGGCCTGAAACTTATATCTAAATACAGCATGAGAGTTTTCTAGCCAAACCCGAACTGAATGAACACACACCTTCGCAAAATATGAACCAAACTGCATTATAAAACCTGTTAAAAGTGAGAGGTAAGCTGTGAGAACCTTAACCTGAAATTTGAACCCGACCCAAACCAGATACAGAGTTGAGAAATGACATCAGAGCCCACCAGAGACAGACATTAGAAGTCGACCCTCGTCAGGTTTGGACAGTTCGAGCTCTATCTGTAAACACATTAAGATTGTCAGTGAATTGTCAGTGTGGTATAGAGGACAGTTTGACTCACTAAACTAGAAAAAAAATGAACAAAACCATTTTATACGACAGGCGTTGAGGTGAATTCTGTGTCCCCCACAGAATCCGACACTGGTTCCTGTGCAAACATGTCATTATGAAGACCTGGATGTGCTTTGAGCAGTGTGAGAGATGTTCTGAGGATGGATTTGAGATTTGAGTCACTGTTGATCATTGACAGTGTTTGTTAGCAACGTTAGCCTTCAGCTCCAGTGATAAACTAAAAAAAAAGCTAAATTTGGACACCAAACATGTCCTGACTGATCAACTACATCTGGGGTAAGTGGAAAATTGTGTAAACGTTTTTGGACGAACTGCCCCTTAAATACCGAAGTGAGCCTGTGTTCCTGCCAGCCAAGTCCTCTGGAACTACTGCTGTGCTCCTTCTGAATATTTGTCGAGTTCCATAAGAGAACAAAAATACTTCTTAGTAATATTATCCAGAGATTTGGTTTATTACATGCTCAGAGTCAGAAAAGGGGTTTTTTGGTACTTTCATTTTTAAATGAAACTGAAAGGAGTTAAGACAGGGTGTATAGAGCCAGTATAACATTAAAGAATAATTCCAACAGAATATTGTACATTTATGTTTCCTAACTAAAGGTACTGCACATGTACCCTATGAGGGTAGCACCCCAACCTCAGGTTTTATCCTGAAATGTACAGTATTTTTTTTGTGAGAGTGAACAGAAGTCGAGAGGCATTTGAGAGCCATTTAGAAAGCTTTTAGGAGTCTCTGTTGTTTCAGTAAGTTGGGGTATCTTGATCTTAAAGGGTACATATCCTACATTTTTCTAGTACTTTCATTTTTGTCTGATTATAATGTTCGTGTAGTTGTTTATTCATTTTAATATGACCGTTTTTCAACCCCTCCTTATCCCATAGAATTAAACTGGCTGTTTTAGTTACTGTGCCTTGTTACATATCGCTGCCTTTAGGTCAAAACCTGTCCAAAATTAGAACATTACAGGAGAAGAAAAAAACATACTGTACTTCTAATGTAAGTCAATGGAACCAGACATTTTCCAAGTAAACTTTGGCCATTTCTTTTGGTCCATTCGTCATAAAATGTGCAATATTGAAATGAATATAAAGGGCTAAAAGGCATTTTCAAATTTTATCAAAAACTGAAAAATGACCAAAATGGAGATACAAGGTTTTGTTCCGATTGGCTGCTCTGTATCATGCCTCATCCAAGAAGCAGAAGTGGCTGAAACACAATTAACTTCCGTGTGAAGGCTAAATATGTGGATGTAAGTAAATGTGATGGTTTGCGTGACATCACAACAACAATAAATTCAAAACAAGCTGATTTTGCAGCTGAGTTTCCTTATATGGACTGTATTGACTGCGGAGTGAATGGTATGTTTGGAAACTTTAGCAGTGTTTACATGATACGTCAAACTCTTTGCAAAAAAAGTTCAGTTTTCTATGGTCCCTTTAAATGGTAGGAATGAGTACATTTATCTCTCTCTGTCTCTCTTTCTGTCTCTCTGTCTCTCTCTCTTTCTCTGTCTAGGAGAGTACAGTTATTTGGGTACGAGCCTGAGGCAGGCAGACATCGAGCCCATGCCCTCTCTGTCAGATGTCAGACAGCTGATCGCCCTTTATGGTGTGTTGCCTCTGGGTGAGTGAGTGTTCCCACATCTTCCTGTCTGCTCTCTCTCCCTCACTGCCCTGCTTCCTCTTACCCTAACCCACAGTCAAATGACACAAACCAGAGTTCACCTGGAAACTGCGCCCACGTCACGGCACTGCAGCCAAATACGAGGCAGGGTGGATCTGTATGCAAAGAATAAGCACAGAATGGAAAACTCACTGGTTGCAGTTTATTGGGTCACAAAGAGGCACTGTATTGAGCAACTTCAGGGGGCCAAGCAGTGATGGATTAGGCGTATTGTGTGTGGAAAAAAATGTCCAAAAGGAGCGCTAATGAACACCCTGGGAAGTCTAGTGTTGCTCCCATTAATTTTTCAGGACCAGTACTGTTAGACCTGTGTCTGGTTCATACAGTGCGTGGCCTTCTGAACTGTATCTGACCCCGATGGGGCTTATTCCACAGCTCAGGGTCTTTTCTCACTTTCCCTAGAGCGTGCACTCCATTAGCGGAGAGCACACCGGTGTCCAGTGTCACACCATCCTCTCCCACACTCGCTCTCTATTCCATTGTCCTCCACTCCAGTCCTCCTAGTGTACCCTTGTACAGTCATATGCAAATGTTTGAACACCCCAAGTGAAATTTCTACGTGAAAATAGGTGAACACATTCTCTACAGTGAACACACTTAATCCCTTAAAATCCCAGGCTTATTTCATAATAAGGCTTATTATTCAGTAACTACAGGGTCTTCAGCGCAAACTGGCTGTGGAAGTTACAGAAGTGCATAATAAAACTTTGAGCCATGGCCATTAAAGGCGTTAAATATGGTGGCTTTCTACACATTTTAATGCAAAGTTTCTACTTATTTTCTGACTTAGATATTCTGACTTACAACATATTTCAAAAAAATGAAATCTAAAATATAAAATGTGCCATAACTTTTGATAAGTGATAACAGGCCAAATTTTATGCTTTTTTTATTATTGACAATATGTGAAAGTGAGCAATTGTGCATTAAAATGTCCAGAAATGTCTTCTCTGAAGCAGACGGGTTAATTTATTCTCACTTAGAAGAATCAATGCAACATGTAATCTAACCAGGGGTCCCCAGACTTTTGCACACAACCATGTATACACCTTGCGATGCCTCTTATTATGTTTTGTTGAACTCAGAGAAGTTTAGAGCTATTACTGTTATTTTGCTACATGGTTTGAATAGAATAAGATTATTACATAATTGTAGTTACATAACGAATCGCATAGATTTGACAGATTTAAGTCTGTAACTCTTCAGACTTTTTTCTGTTGGTTTCCATGTCAAACAGCAAAAAAAATGGACAATTTTAAATTGTGTTTTTTCTTTCTGCAAAATAAGACTCTGCAGAGAGTTTTAGTCCAATCCAAAAAATAATAAATATCTCCAACTTACAAACAGTTGAAAGTTGAGAATCACTTGAAAATCGCTTTTGTCTGAGTTTCTCTGCTTGTTTCAGTGAGTCACTTCTAAGGGTTCATTATTTCACACTCAGTTAACTGAAGCAAGCAGAGAAATTCTGCTGACTGTGTGGAATCTAAACACTGTAAAACCTGATGAGCAAAATAAACTCAAATGGTTTGAGGAAACCGATTGCCTGAAACCATTTAGGTTTATCAACTCAGCTCATTTGACCATAAATAATGCCCTGAACTGCATATGAACAAGACACGTTTTCGTTGTTATACACGCTTAAAGAGGAATTTCAGTTACTTTTCATTAAATGGTTAAGGTGTAAACAAGGTCATTCAGGCTGGCTTGTTGTGAAATCCTTCATTCTAGAGAAACTTATCAAGTCAAAACTGTTCACAGTGGTGGTGACAGGACCCGGATGTCTGAAGACTTTAATGCCTCTAAAAGCTCCCTTACAAAAAAACATCTCATGAAATGTTTACAGATTTGTTTCCTGATGCCTGAGACGTTGATTTATGATAGTTTAAAAACATGCTTTCTAAAAAAGCATTCGTGGTTGAGAGGGGGACGAAATACGTCTACATTTAAACATACCTAAGCATATAAAAGTAAAAAATGAGTGTAACAGATAACCTTTAGACTCAGCATGTCTTATTTCTTTCTTTCTTTCATTAATTTATTTCTTTATTTCTTTATTTATTTATTATCATTTTGTGACTAATAAGCAGGACTGTTTCTTGCACAAAGGTGAGCCGCTTCCACAAAAATGAAATGCAGCTTCATTTCTGGTATGAATGTCATAGGACATTTAAAAAAAAAAAAAGCCTAATACTTCAACTGTTTGGCAAGTATGAGATTTTAAATCTTCTGTGGCTGCTTGTGTTTTTTTATATGTTAAATGCTTTAAAAAAAGCTGTAAATGAAGATTTAAGTTTGTGTCCAACAAAAACTTGTCCAGAGTCCCGAAACTTAAACTTAGTGTCTAAAACTCAAATTACAAAAATGTATTTCGTTCACTTTGCAATTAAACATTTACTTGAAGAGCCCACTTAAAGTAAAGGGAAAACCTATGACCAAAATCAATTAAAAGAGGTTTTATGCAAGCAATCACTGGACTTTCTTTAAAGGTCTAAATGAAAATGTAAGTAGTAAGAAGCATTTTTTCTGTCTTGCAAATGTAACCGAGTAAAAGTAGATGCTCCAGTAAAGTATAAATCTTCTAAAATAATACAAACACAGTCATTAAGCATTTGCCATACTGTAAGATACAAAGAAGAAGGTTGGAAGTTCAGACACGCACCTGAACAGAATTTAAATCACATTAATTTTGTAATTTCTATGCAATTAATTGCGTAATTGTATATAAATAATTAAGCCAAGTAAATCAAATGTACAGCAAAACAACAACTCTAAGCAAAACAACTCTCAACTTCTCAGGGTTAATAACCCGGCAGAGGCTCAGCAGGATAAACATGAGGATCAAACCCCATCTTTCACACCCGTGCACACACACAACGCCCTGGAGGGCCGTAACCCCTGACAACACTCGGCAGAGAGAGAGAGAGACAGAGAGACAGAGAGAGAGAGAGAGAGAGAGAGAGAGAGACAGAGACAGAGAGACAGAGAGAGAGAGACTGAGCAGTGGCGCAGGGCCTCAGGCAGTGCCGTGTTACCACATCAACAGCCTCCTCTGCGCTAAAACAATGAGAGATCAGTCAGCAGCTCAAAAACAATCACATGCCGCTCGGCCCCCGAGCCCACGGTCGGGTCTCAGCGGGGCGAGACAGACAGAGAGAGGGTGACCCCCAGAGTCTGTCATCACCTCAGTGCCAGGGGAGAAAGGAAACGGGGAGGAGAGAGTCTGCAGAGACGAAAAAGTGAGGGGAGGGAGAGAGAGAGAGAGAGGAGGGGGCTCTGAGAAAAACATTGTTGAGGTTTTGAATTTTTACTCCTATAAACTTTTTATAGACCCAGAGTACATATAGTGTTTTTGAACTATGAACTAAGGACTATGAGACTCTGTGTACAGAAAAATAAACACAAGGACATGATTGATGAACGAAAAACAAACATGAGATAAATCAATAACAGAAATAAATACATTAATTAAGGAGTTCTTAAAGAGAGAGAGAGAGAGAGAGAGAGAGAGAGAGAGAGAGAGAGAGAGAGGGAGAGAGAGAGAATAAGAGAAAGACAGAGTCAGAATAAGAAAGAGCTTAAAAGAGAGGGGGGGGAGAGAGAGAGAGAGAGAGAGAGAGAGAGAGAGAGTGACAGAGAGAGAACCAGAGAAAGCTCAAAAGAGAGACAGAGAGAAGAGAGTGAGAGAGAGAGAGAGAAAGCTCAAAAGAGAGACAGAGAGAGAGAGAGAGAGAGAGAGAGAGAATAAGAGAAAGACAGAGTCAGAATAAGAAAGATCTTAAAAGAGAGAGAGGGAGAGAGAGAGAGAGAGAGTGAGAGAGAGAGAACCAGAGAAAGCTCAAAAGAGAGACAGAGAGAGAGAAAGAGAGAGAGAGAGAGAATAAGAGAAAGATAGAGTCAGAATAAGAAAGAGCTTAAAAGAGAGAGAGGGGGAGAGAGAGAGAGAGAGAACCAGAGAAAGCTCAAAAGAGAGACAGAGAGAGAGAGAGAGAGAGAGAGAGAGAGAGAGAGAGAGAGAGAGAAAGAGAATAAGAGAGAGACAGTCAGAATAAGAGAGATAGATAAATAGAGACAGAGAGAGAGAGAGTGAGAGAGAGAGAGATACTTACTTTACTGATCCCAAAGGAAATGTTTGCGGGAGAGAGACAGAGAAAGAACCAGAGAGAGCTCAAAAGAGAGACACAGAAACAGAGAGAGTGAGATAGAGAGAGAGAGAATGAGAGAGAGATGCAGAGAGACAGAGGGAGAAAGAGTAAGGACAGGCAGGGAAATAGAAAAAGGAAGAGGGAGAACATTCAAAGAAGACTCCTATTATTTATTATTCAATATCTTATTACTTATTGTTGAATATCTTATTACCTGTTATTCAATGCCTGTTACAAATGTTTTAGTAGCTGCTATGAAGCTGATGTGTGAGCTCTGTGGTTATGTTGTGAGTGAGGAGCTGCAGTGTGGCCTGTATACGAGTTTAAGGGGTTAAAATCAAACCTCAAACCTTTATTTATACTTATTTTGACAGTGAGTTATGATATTGTGTTTATAGGAACATAAATGTAATGAGAAGATAAACTTATAGTAAAGATACACCAATACATAGAGGGAAGAAAATACAGAGAGAGAAGGAGTGAGAGCGTGTATGAGAGAGACAGAGAGAGAGAGAGAGAGAGAGAGAGAGAGAGAGAGAGAGAGAGAAAGAAGGCAAAGAGTTTTGAATGATAAGCTTGCAGTTCAAGCGCTTACAGGGCAGACATATGTTTCAGGTATTAGTTATATTAATCATGAAGCTAATTCAGCAATTACTATGAAACTAATATGTAAGTTATGCAGTTATGAACTTGAACTGAAGTGGGTTCAAGGTTTTTTTTTCGTCTTTTTGACTTTGAGCAATGGCCTATAATATTGTGTTTGCGGGTACATAAACACAATGAGAGCAAATTGATGAA